ATAAATTTTGTTTTCTTTATAAAATACCCAGTTCCATGTATTTTGTTATAAGCAACATAAACGGACTAATACACTTAGTCACAGCAGTCTCATTTCAAACACTCAATTGCTACACGCGGCTAGTGGCCACTGTACTGGCCAGCATAGATGTAGACATTTTGGTCATTAAGAATGCAATGATGAATGAAAATTAGAACTACAGCATCCCCATCTATTTCTTGTGCGTAAATTAGTACTACTTTTTGAGGGCAATTTGATAATACAGAATCACAATTTAGATTGCACAAACTCAGCAATTCCTAGGTATTTTCTTACATGTATAATTGTATTTGTATGAGGTTATTCACTGCAGCATCCTCTGTGATAATAAATGATTAAACATGACTGAAATATTCATGGTTAGATGGATTCTAGCATATCCATTAAACAGGCGAACACAGCTATAGACAGAATGTGGCGCTCTGTATGCACTGATATGAAAGGTTCTCTGAGATGTGTGTTTAAGGAAGAAAAACAAGGTGTAGAACACTGGGTATAAAATGCTGGATTTGGAAGAAAAAGGTACATTTGGATTTGTCTCTAAATACACAGACCATTTCTGGAAAAGCACAGAGGAAAAGGATAACCGTGGTTGCCTCCAAGGAGTTGAACTGGGGGCGAAAGAGGAAAGGAAGATAAACTCTCAATTCTTCACCCTTTTGCATTTTATGCCATAGGCATATATTACTTATTTTAAGAGACATACAATTAAAAATAAATAGATATAGTAAATGTAAGAAGTGGGAAAAATAGGAAATGAGGGGTTCTAAAATTTGTTTTTGCTCCCTAAAAAAAAGGTTTATTATAGAAAATATTTGAGTAAAGTTTACTACAAATCACAATCACGAAGCAAGCTCTGACCATCCGAGTACTTTTGCTGTAAGAGGGCACCTTTGAGGAAACAAGTGGTCACCTGGTTAAGTGTGGGGTTTAGTATCACTTTTCTAGCTATCCTCACTCCTCCTTCTGCCCTAGTAGGGCCCAACTGGGGGTGCTGATTCCCAGGGCAATAGCACCTAAACTGGAAAGAAATTATTAGAATGTGGGCCACATACAGACTGACAGATATCCTTGCTCTCTCAACCAAAGACACATCTCACTAACTCTCTCAAGACCGGTATTCCAGTAAAAGTTTTTCTTTTTCTTCCTTTCTCTCTCTCTCTCTCTTTTTTTTTTTTTTCTTTTTGGTTATTTTTGAGCTTTGGTTTCTATTAAAATAAAGAGCACCCTGGGCAGGTTAATAGCACTGTTCTCAGCTATTTATGGTTAGAGAACAACGATTTTCCCACTCTTTTTAAAAAATGAGCTTTGGGAAAAATTAAGCAAAACAGCTTTGGGCTCTGGAGGAAGCAAGATCTGACAGAATAGGGAAGACAGGAACCGGGGAAATGAGAAGAGAATTTGAAAATGGCATGCTCTAAGGCAAACTCCCATATTTCATCTGAGGCCTGTTCTCAAAATAAATAAAATGAGTGATTTTCTGTAGTTTTTTATTAGGTGTGGAAAGCAGGCGAAGAGAAATCATAAAAGACCTGGAATTTTATATAAAATTTTGCTGACCTTTCTTAACTTGTCAAAAATCCTCAACTGGCTCATAATGAATTCTTATTAAGTGATAACTGTTTCTATTGTGGTGGCTGGTTCACCAGTATGGGGCAGGAGAAAAGGGGAGGTGGGTGGTGAGTCTATTTTCACTTAGCCCTGCCTTTTCCTGTCAAAGAAATAATGGAAACTTGAGAGACTGAGGGAAAAAGAAAAGGTGCGAGGGGGTGGGCATAAGCAGTCAAAGCCCCTGGCCACTAAACGAGTGGACTATCTGGGTGATGGGGGAAGTTGCCTTGGGGACCTGGCAGCAATGGGGGAAATGTTAAATGATTATGTGGCATGAACTGAATGATTCCTCCCCATAAGCAGATCCAGAACATCCTGCATCTGGTGAACAACCAGGGTGGTTGCAGCCTGTTCACACACTACTCCATAACCCTCAGGGAAATCAGGAAAGAACTACTTGGACAAAGTCCTATGATTCATGTTTTAGTGTTGAATATTTTCTCTCCTCCTTCCTTTCCCCAACGTGAACTGGTCTCCGGAGAAAAACAAACAAATATAGGTACTCTAATGAGAGCGTATTAAGTGCCAGGCACTGTGTCAGCCCTTCACTAACTGGCATCCTGCTCACAACTCCAAGAGGCAAGAACCAATATTCCTAGTTCCCTAATGAGGATCCAGAGGCACAGACGAGCTCAGCTTCTTGCCTGAGGCCCTGCAGTCAGTAAGTGGGTGATCTGGAGGTGACACTCTGGACTGTCCCCGGCGCTGTTCAGTAGACTGTAAGCATTCTGAAGGCGGGAACCATGTCTCTTTGTTCGTTGCCGGTGAAATGATGAGTGCAGTGCCAGCATAGAAAGGTGACATTGAAGGGGGCATGCGCTAGGGAACGCAGGGAGGAATGAGAGAGGAAGGGCAGAAATGCGTGAACACAGGTTGGGACCGGGTAGAGAAAGCAGACGGGGATTCAGGAATGCGTGCGGGGACTCGGGAGGGCCCCATCTGGTACTCTCACCTGCAAAGAAGGGCACAAAAGCCAGGCTGCAGGCCCACAGGAGGCTGATCGGAGCTGCGGCATGCATGGCTGAGGTTTGGTGCAGTCCCGTCTCTCTGTGGAAGACGGGGCCAATCAACCGAGATCTGCGAAAAGGAGCACAGCCAGGCGGTCCAGGCTCGCCCTCCCACTCAGAAGCCCAGGGGCTGCGCGGCAAGCTGGGCCTCTGCAGGCACCGGGGACGCCGAACCGCTGCCGAGATGTGTAGGCCCAAGGGTGCTTCTCGCCTGTCCACTCCCTTCCAGAATGTGAGACGGGCAGCCTGTCCCTGGGCGGGATGGGCTTGAGAGGCAGGAGGTGACCCTGGGGTGGGTGGGGAACCTGTACCTGGCGCCCGTACTTGGTGCTGCTGACCCTGGATGCGGTTCTTCCTGGACCCAGGCCGGAGGGCACTGCACAGGCGTGGGCCGGGGCCTCCACGGCAGGTTGGCTGTCCCTATTGGTCCCCAGTTCTCATTCTTCCCGCCCTCTCAGGAAGCTTGGCCAATGAGATCCTGCTGTGCCTGAAGGCCCACATGACCAGAAAACGTGTGACGGGCTATTTCCGTAGTTCGGATAATTGGGGGAGCACATGGGAGCAGAAGTGCTTGTTTTTCTGATTCTGTGGTGCTCACCCGCCACAGTCTGTTAAAGACACCTTACTGTGGCAGATCCTTTTTCTTACCTACTCAAAGCACTTCTGAGGAGAGTCACTGACTCCTCCTCCCCACCTACGCCCACAGCACCCTCCAAGTGTCAGTGCCTCTAGAGCAATTCTAGCACCTCAGAATATTTTCTAGCGCACCCACACCTCCTTGAGACTGTATACTTTGAGAGGACAGGGGCCTTGTGTACAC